AAACTTTATAGCGTGTGGGCTCATGCAATTTTGAACCCAAAAATGCACCAAAAAATGCTCGACTAGCATTATTCTTTGAATGGCGTGTGGCCTTATATTGCCATAAATGGACGTACACACAGAGCATAATTATTCCTTTACACGGCGAATAATCTTGGCGCGGATCGCTGACATGGCATGGCAAAGTTCGAATCACTGACATGGCACAGCTGGATCGAGGCAAGGACATGATGTGACAAAGTTCAACCTCCGACAGCAAAGTCTAGAAGCTACTCAGTTTGAAATTTGTCAGAGGAGTCATAAGATCTGGTTTGTCAGAGGATTTGATGTGACATTCAAGCGTGTGTTATTTTTGAATTCTCGAACTCATTCCTAGGTCTATCATTTTTGTGCGCCGTGTTCTTGGTTCCGCTGAGCGCAGTGAGCGCTACTTGTGTAAGCGGCGTTGTGGGCTGTGGTTTATGCGTCTACGAGCGATTGCGGCATTGCGAGCGGCAGTTTATGCGAGTGGCAGTTTGTGCGAGCGGCGCTACGAGCAGTTGCGGTGTTGCGAGCGGCACTACGAGTAGTTGCGGTGTTGCGAGCGGCACTGTCTTTGGTGTGGCTACCGCTTCCTCTTGATATTCGGCACTTGTGCTTCCTGGTATGTTCACCATGGAATGGCTTAGGACCACATTTAGAAATGGCATGAGGCCACATGCCATCTTGGGCCCTTGCAATTTCATGACTAGCGTATTGTCATGTATGTTTTTACTTGCCTGCAGCTGTGTGTATATCAAGATGGCATGAGGCCTCATGCCAATTTTGTGAATGCAAAATTTCACGTGGGTGTCAATAGCATGTTTGAATAATGGCATGTGGCCTCATGCTATTGAGGTTGTTTGGTATGTTATGATTTAGGTTATTCTCCAATCATTTTTTGTATGGTCTTAACTTCTTTTCTGCACTTTCAGAATGGCCTTCAGGGTTGGGGAAAAGGTTTACATTTTGAATGGTGGGAAGAGAGTTGCAAAAGGGACCCTTGTGTCTATGGATCGGAACTTTGTTATACACTGTCAAAGGCTTGGGGAGGGCAATGCTGCTGTATCAGTAGAGACTGTCTTCGATGGGAATGTGGTCGCTATTGAACGAGGAGAGATGGTCGTCGAGGTAAATGTTGTTGTTGCCTTGAAAAATCTTCAGAAGAAAGCAGATGTTGGGGACAGCGCAAGTGCGACGCATGTTCCCTCCGTGGATCTTAAGAACCGTGCTACATGGATTCAGGCGAAGGTGTTTCTAAACAACCCCGAGGGGGAGGTGGTAGCTGAGGGCTTAGCCACAGTTGTCGATCCAAGAAATGCGGTTGCTAATCAAGAATTGGGCTGGGATGATATTGGAGTTGCGATTTTAGAGGTTGTTGACACAGAAGAAAACAGTCTGACTATTGGAAGCATTGTGCGGTGGAAATTGAGGCACTTAGTGTTTGAGAATGTGAAGGATTCACAATCAAACACCACTACAACTGATGACAGAACATCTCTTCATGGGAAAAGAAAGTACACCTTCCTAAAGCGCAGCCAAAGGGATCTGAGCAACGAACCGAAAAGGCAGAAAATGGCAATGGAAGTTCGAATGGTCTCGACAGTTGCTTGTTGCAAGAGGAGCTGCTGTCAACATGCTGATTGGGATGCTATTGAAGAGGAGAGAACAAGATACAAGACATTGTCCTGGAAGGCAGCTCGCAATTTTGTGTATGAGGCATTACGGTCATCTGTTGATGCTTCAGAACATCAGGTGGGGGGCATGGTCTTCCAGAGGGGTTTGGTCTGCATGAAGGCATGGAGAATCATTTATGGAGTCCCTCGAACCACATTCTAATGAATCAAAACTGAGTTCGAGGAACAAAGGGTTCAACAGGCAGTCCATGGGAACGACGGTACGCACAAAACCAGGGGTCATGTTGTATATGGAGAGGCAATCTTCAAGAGGTTTGTCGAGACATGTAGCGAGCAGCAACCACATAAAACCCGCCTCTTGGAAGATGGAACACGAGACACCCAACGAGTTCTCCCTTCCATGTATACCAAGGGGGCCATATTGGAAGATGTGAATCGGGAACTCCAGAGTAATGGCTACAGGAAGCTGAGCCAATCTAGATTTAGTAGATTGTGGAGCAACAGGTTCAGGGATGTGAGTATAGGAAAGTACTCCAGCTTTTCAAAGTGTGACGAGTGCACTGCTATCAAAATGGCTTTGTCGAAGAATTCTTGCAGCGCTCAAGAGCGAGAGACGTTGGTTAGAAGGCGGCTCGACCACAACATCGAGCAGAGAAGCTGCAGGACTGCATATTATCATAACAGGATTCTCTCCATGGAGAGACCTAACTCTTACCTCTGCATCATCCACGACAAAATGGACTAGAAAAAGACGTGCTTACCTCGACTCAATCCTGCCCCCAAGGCAATCTCTTCATCCATGCAGCTGCCTGTGTCTCTGTTTGGCATAATCACTCATGGGCATGGTGCCCAGAACTATGGGAACTTCTTTGTACCTCTATGGGGTGGCGGGGGTGCAAACATGATGATTGCGTCCCTAGCAAAACACTTAAGGTCTCTGCAAAGTGCGCAGAC